TAAGGAAAATGTCGGTATTTTATATTTCCTGGTGAAGAGAATAACTTCTGTCTTTGCGGGGTTAATATCAAGACCGAATTCCCTACACCATTTAGTTACAATGAGGAGCGCAGAGTTAATAACATTGGATACAACTTAGGGGAATTTGCCAGATGAGGCAATAGCAATGTCGTCCGCATAAGCTATAACACTACATCCGGATTGTTCCAAGAGTTTTAGCAAAGAATTAACCGCTATGTTCCATAGAAGAGGAGAGAGAACCCCACCTTGTGGCGTTCCCCGACAGACTGCTCTGGAAGATTAAACACTTCCGATATCGCATGTAATAATCCTAGTTTTGAGAAGGGCCTCTACAAATTTAACCAGACTATTGTCGAGATTTAACTTTGAGAGGGATTTTATGATACCATTGGGGCAGACATTGTTGAAAGCGCCCTCAATATCGACAAAAGTGGCAAGTGTGAATTCTCTGAGAGAGATGGAGTGGTCAACTTGCGAGATGAGTGCATGAAGCGCAGTATCGACAGACTTGCCTTTGGTATAAGCATGCTGTGATGGAGATAAGAGTGCTGGGTTTATCTTGTTCCTGATATGCAAATCAGCACTCCCTCCAGTACTTTTAGAAGAAAATAAGACAGACTAATTGGTCTATAGTCCTTGGCACTGCAGTGAGTTATTTTTCCTGCTTTGGGAATGAAGACTACTCGAGCCACTCTCCAGCAGCTTGGGACATACATAAGCTTGAGACAACTATTGTAAATGGTTAGGAGCCAGGGGAGGATTACGAATTCACCCTGTTGAATATCTGCGGAAATAATTCCGTCCGGACCTGGAGATTTATAAGGTTTAAAAGTTTGGATGGCCCACTTGATTTGAGTGTTCGTCACTTGAAACGGTTTCGGATTGTTTAGAGGGGGCAAGCTGATTTGAGTTGATAAATCAGCATCAGAGGCTACGCTCCCTGGGAAATGCGAGTCCAGAAGGATGTCGAGAGTTTCCTTACTGGAGTTGGTCCATTGACCATTTGGAGCCTGGATACAATCGAGTGTCTTATGGGTGGAATTGAGGATTTTGCGCAGTCGGCTAGACTCAGAGGAGGATTCTATGTTGGCACATAAGTTTTTCCAAGCTGCCCTTTTGGCCCGCCTAATGGCGTATTTAAATTCTCTTTGCTTCTCTTTATATGGAACCCAGTTTCCTGTTGCTTTAGCATCATTAAAAAGTTTTCTACAGGTTTTTCGGAGGTCTGCAATGTTTAGGTTCTACCAAGGAGATTTGGGTTTGCCCCTAAATTCGGGTTGCTTGCAGGCTGCGTTTGTGGCTCATCTAAATGCTGATGTGAGAAGGTCAACCGCTCGATCTATATCGGAACAGTTGAGAATAGTGGGAGGGTCCAACTGTAAGTTGGATTCTAGGTTGGCTCGAAAAATGGGCCATACAGTACGTTTCCTATTTACTGGTTTAGATGAGCTGTTCATTTCAGGGTTCTCCACAAAATCTAGATCAAAATTGATGTATCTATGGTCAGAAAAGGAACAATCTTGCGATACGGACCAATTAGTAATAAAGTAAGAGAAGTGATCGCTAATCAGGGTGATATCGAGAACTTCCCTTCTGATTGAATTCATGAAGGTTGGTTCCCTACCTATGTTAGCAATCACCAAGTTTCCTGCAAGAATGAAATCAAATAGACACTCACCTCTCGCGTTAGTATCCTACTGTCCTACTGTTATCCTACTGTTATTTGCCTCTGACACCAGAAGCTTGAGGGAGTCCTGTGGTGGAGTGGCACCGTGATCGTGTGCCATATATTCTGAGACAATCCAAAGGGCCTTGGAGTCGTATTCGATGGCCATGGCTACATTGTCATTGTCACTAAACCTAGGGAGTAAAAAGGCATTAATGTTATTTTTTACTAGAAGCCAAGATCTTGGTTTACCTTGACCTTCTGTTAATACTAACCGATAACCGTTTGTATTCAGTCCGCAAACCCGATTGTTTACAATCCAAGGTTCTTGGATCAACATTATGTCCTCTCATTTTTCAGCTAGGCGGAGGGTAAGGGCTGCCGAAGCAGTTTTGGAGTGTTGGAGGTTAATTTGGACGACCTTCAACAGCTTTGTTGTTTTTCAACTATGGTACTGTCCAGTTCATCCTCGTCCGACATCGGTGAGGTCTCCCGGGAGAGCGCCATACCTGTAAAGAACTCGCCGACCAGTTCGGAAGACGAGATTACGCTACCTCCGTCTTCGGAGGAAAGATTGCCGATTAC